GGCAGGACGGAAGGCGAGCCAGCAATGGGCCACGGGATTTATAGCCCCGCCTGGGACGCCTCCCTCGCTCCCCGGGTGGGAAGGCACCAATGCTGATCCAGAGCCTGTCTGGACATTGGCTGGGGAAGGAGGAGAGGAAACCCTGGGAGCAGCCCTGGCCCTCCCAAACCGTCTGGCTCCTGCACTGCCAAGGGTTTGGGTTAGAAAGAGCAAAAACGTGGCCCCCGGGGGCTGGACGGGGACCACCCCGTGGAGGAGAATCCCTAGGGAGAAGGGGTGAAGCAAGGGCAGTGGTGGGCACCTCGTCCCACCGCTGCCGGCGAGGGTAGGCGACGCCAGCGCGGGGTGCGACACGGTGCACAATGGGTTCGGCACCATCCCCAGGGATGCCTGGAACCCCAACAGACCCAAGCGGGGTTTTTGTCCACCGCTCTCTTGTTGTGCCGGGATTTGGGGTTTTGGGTTTGGTTTTTTTGGTTTGGGTTTTTTTTTTTTTTTCTTTTCTGTTTTTAACTCGGCTGAAAGTGATTTCTGTTTCCTAACGGCGAGGGCAGTGCGTCACAACGCCCCGTTGTGTAACGGAGAGCTATTTTGGTGTCTGCATGTCCCGGGCACGTGTCAGGGAGCTGCAGGGGAAAGTTAGGAGCCGGCAGTTTGCGACCCCCCCTGCCGCGGGGGCAAGACGGCTGTTTGCCGGGGTGCAAGGGCTGACAAATACCCCGAGTGTCCCTGAGCCCCCTCGGGACAAAGACGCCAGCTCTAAGGGGACCAGGGTGAGGAAAAGAGGGGATGGAGACCCACGGCCGGCCCCGGGTTGCTCCGATGCCCAGCGGGGCGCAGAAGCCCACCAAAGACCGCACAGCATCTCCCCAGGTTGGGGATTTCTTTCAGGACCATTTTGGCAAAAGAAAGCCCCAAGCCTGAATCTCGTCTCCCCATTAGCAAGTGCAAACTGGGGTAAATTACTGGGAGGGGCCGAAGCTCCCCAGGGGGAGAGGCTCTTTGTAAAAACCCTGGAAAGTGGCAGAGCAAGGTTTGGAGGTGCTGGGGAGATGCTGGAAGGACTTGGGGGCTTCAGGGAGGACTTGGGAGCTCGGGGACGGGGTCTGCGCTGCCGTGCAAGGATGCAGAGGCTTTGTAAGGGCTTTTTTTTTTGGAATCTGGGGTGGTTTTTCTGAGGGTTGGGGGCTGCTGAGGCAAGCTGGAGAGCAGCCTGCAACACCTTCTGCAAACCAGCCCAGACCTGCCGGGAGCCGCTGTGGCTGCGGGGAGGTGGGGCGAGCCCCGTGCTTCCCAACCCATATCGTGCTTGGCAAGCTGCCGCGTGTCGGCGGCCCCACGGCTCCGTGCGAAACCCCGGGGGGGCTCCAGGTGACCTTCTCCAATGCAATCCCCCAGCCACAGGCTGGGCCACATCCCAAAGGGGCTGAGGGTCTCCTCCAGGAGCTCAGACACAGCTCCTCTCGGTGGGAACCGGGGCCGCGCTCTGGCTTTTGTGCTCTGCACAGAGTTTGCGTCTTGCTGTCCCGCCCCCCCAGACCCGCTTTCTCCCCCAGACCCAATGCATCGCCCAGGGCAGCTCGTGCCCACCCACGTTTTGACCTAAACATGCACCAAATGCCAGCAAAGAATGGTTCTGGGGGGGGAGGGGGAGGGAAATGTCCGAGTGCGTTGCTCGGAGGCGGCGCTGAGCTGTTTTGTTGCTCAGGCTTTTCCAAAAAAATGCCTCCCGGGGGTTGAGTTGCACGGTGGAAAATCCCCCAGCGCCGGAGGGAGGGAGGCCTGAGTCACCCGGCTGCCCGCTAACCTGCGGCACGCACAACCCTGCGGAAGCACACCGGGGCTTGGGAAAGGCTTTTATTGCAAACCCCCGCGGCAACGCGGTGGGCAAAAAGGTGGGGGGCGGGGGTGAGGGGGGTGTCACTTCTTGCGGGGCTGCTTGGTAGGGCCGTCCTTGAAGAACTCGTTGAAGCCCATGGTAACGCAGGCCAAGAAGCAGACGTATTCCTTGAAGTCCACCTCGTTGTCCTTGTTGTGGTCCAGGTCGTCCGTCAGCCTCCTGAACTCCGCCTCATCCATTTGTTTCTGCCAGGAGGGAGGGGGGGGGGGGTAAGAGGTTTTGGGGTGCAGGGGTGAGCCCTCACTTTGCAAAGAAGGGTGTAAAAAGCCTGGGCTTGCCCCCCTCCACCTGGAAGGAAGGTTATCTCTTTGCCTTTTGGAAGGAGGTGGCCTTTAGAGACGTAGGGGTCGTACCTGTGGTCCGGGGCACGCTGGCACGGCCACAGCAAACCCGCCTCGGCCATGAAACCCTTTAGCTAAAACATTTCTCCTCCCAGTTTAAACCACAAGCCAGAAGTGGAAGTGGGGGTTAAAAAAAAAAAAAAAAAGAAGTAAAGAATTGAAATCGGAGCATGATTTTCTTTGCCAATCAAAATATTTCCGTGGGGATAAGAAAGCCAAGTTTCCTTTCAGTCTGAGCATGCTCCAGCTCAGGTCCTCGTCCCTCCTCCTCCCCAGGGCTTGCCCTAGAGCGCGAGGTCCCAGCGCCTCGCCCGTGGGCTGCGTCCGTTGTGCCATGCTTTGGGGAAATTCAGAGACTGCCTCGGCTTACCCCGCTTTGCACCGTGCTACGGGGAAAGACCCGAGGCTGGTTTGCTCCTGCCCCTACACCACCTCCCCCCCGCCCCCCG